GAGCTCACCTCTATTTTTTCATTTTCTTTTTTCAAAATCAGTAATGAATTTTCACTTCGAAGTAACGCTCTTGCTGTGATCTCTGCACTGTGAATGCTTGCCTAGAATAAAATAAGTGCAAGTGACCAGCGCTCATTTTGGTGATATTTCAAATTTCAAACATAGATAAGAAGAGTCATTTTGCTTACAAGAGGCAATATCAGTGGTATATGTACATGGTGGTATAAAAATAAGTCTATTGTTCATTGTTTCTTCTACACATTTGTTAATCTTAATGGAGACAGTAAACAGAATTTTGACAATTTGAGACCAGGACTCTGGCTTGATTTAGAAAGGATGAAGAAAATATGCAGCCTTTTTATATGTGTCACCAGGAGTCTTGCATCCAGTATAGAGACTAAAACTTCCTTTAACTATGCAGTTATAGCACCGTAACTGTCGTACATGTCACAAAGCCTTGGGACTTATAGTTTAGTGAGATACTTAGAAACTTCTGCTAGAGATCTCCAGTTTGGATTAGAATTCCCTAGCAGACAATTTAACCACAAATCACAGCATTCTAAAAGATATAACCAACATAGTGGAATCAGTCTTCTCTGTGTAATGTAGTTATACTTAATGCCTCAAGACAACATTCTGTTCAGAAGAATGTGATAAGGTTGAAAATAATGTGTTAAAAGTAACTGTTATTCCAATTAGTTACTTTTGGGAGTAACAAGGCTGGACATTTCAAAACATCTTTAAGAAGAAAGAATGAAATGATTTTATTTGTACAATGAATAAAAAACATTCTGTCTACTTTGTTATTAGAAAGTTACTTTTAAGGACTCTGTTACGGGCAATTTGACAGAAATTTTATTAGAAAGTTACTTTTAAGGATTCTGTTACGGGCAATTTGACAGAAATTTTTAAAGTTTGATGACTGTTAGGATTTTTTTATCTTCTCTAAAAAGTAAAATAAGATAATGGAAGTGGAACATGTGGCACAATAAGCAATTAAATATGTTTATTTATTGATTGCTTACATGAATCCTATTACCTGAATGGAACTACCGATTCAAGTTAAGTCTAGATTTTGCAATATTGCAGTCTAAAGATAATTAGATTTGATTCAAATATGAGTTAAATGGATGTAAAATGAAACAGTAAAATGTTTTTTACTGATATGAAATAGAGGAAAAATATAGACTTCATTTAAACAGATGGCCATCTGTCGGGGGTGCTTTGAATGCTAATTTCCTGCTTCTTGGCAGGGGGTTGGACTGGATGGCCTTCGAGTTCTCTTCCAACTCAATGGCTCTATGATTCTATGTATACACCATTATTAATGGGAATGCTTGCTTTGACATAGCTCAGAGGGAAAGGAGGAAAGGAGAAATGTAAAATTAACATCCTCCTTCACCCCCATCCAGATAAAATTATATCTAAATGAAGAATGCAATTTAGTTGGCTATTATAGGGAAACGATCAATTCACTTCTGACATGATAAATAAATAAATAAATAAATAAATAAATAAATAAATGGCATAAGTGTGTGTGGAAGAAGGTGGTAAATTGTACTTACCTTTATGAAGGTACGTTTCCAGAGTCGGAGTGAAATATTGACCTGAGTTACATCAGATGGAGCCACAGTACAGTTAATAGATATGCAATCATACGAATCACAGTCCTGTTTGAAGGATCAAGGACATTCATTAGAAAAGAACCGACTGTACAACTTGCCTGTTTGGAGTACAATGCTTCCCACTATTCTAACAACCACCATCCATGACACTATGATGTATTTCCAGATTTCTTGGTAGCAATAATGGTGATAGCAAATTCTCCCTTTCATCACATCTTATTACATATACATTATAGTAAAATGTATAGATACCTTTCCCCTTCTAAGGGCCTCAAATAAGCATTTGAGAAAAAAAGTTGTTGAATGCCTACATCTAAATCCAAGCATGTTTCTCCAGCAAAAGTAAAGAGATGAGTCATAGTAACAGAAGAAAAGGGCTTTCTAGTCAGAAAGGAGCTTGGAAGGCCTGATGTTTTTGTTGTTGTGGGCATACAAGTTACTATTGCAACCCTAAGGTGAACATATCAACGGGTTTTCTGGGGCTGACAGTGTGTTTTTCCCCAGAGGTTTTCCTGAGCCAAGTGGAGAATTGGACTCTGGTCTCCAGAGTTGTTGTCCAATACTCAAACCACTACACCACACTAGCTCTCACCTGACATTGACTAATATTATTGAATCTAATCCCACCTACATTGCAATGTTATAACATATGTATTCTTGAATGTTGTACTCCTTTGTGGATCTGAAGTGGAGGATTACAATTCATGAAACCTCATGACCAATTTGGCCTGTTAATCTTAACGGGTTTTGGCTTTTCTTTGCTTATATAACAATAGTTCAATTATTTCTTGAAAAGAAAGCTTTGAGTTGACTGCCATCTAGTGACAGTGCCTAAAAAAGCTAGGAGATTAATATTTATATTTATAAAGAACACATTTCCTTCCTTCCTTCCTTCCTTCCTTCCTTCCTTCCTTCCTTCCTTCCTTCCTTCCTTCCTTCCTTCCTTCCTTCCTTCCTTCCCCCCTCATTTGACTTTTTCAGCCTTTTTCAAAATAAAGCTGAAATGAAATGATTTTGTTTCTTCTCTCCATGACGTGCCATCTCATGTGGCTCCACATGAGCTTCACATGACAAATAGCGGCAATGTTCGGCTTCTTTCCATTAAAAAAAAGACCAATGTTTAGTGGAAAAGAAACCAACATTGCATTTTACACAAGTAGAGGTTCTAGTGATTGCAACTGAATGAGAAACCAATATTTTTTTCCTAATTAGAACAATCATAATTGCATCTATTTTTTCCGTAATTTTTTTTTGTCAGGAGCAACTTGAGAAACTCTTAAAGCAAAGTTTTTGGAAGTAATGAGAACTTCAAAAAACTATGCTTTAAGATGTCAGTCTCCAGAATACTTAATCCAGCAAATTTTCTGAGCTCTATGATTTTCAGCTAGTTATATAGGAGCTCCTGGTGGTGCAGTGGGTTAAACCCTTGTGCCAGCAGAACTGTAGACAGACAGGTCGGAGGTTCAAATCTGGAGAGAGTGCAGATGAGCTCCCTCTGTCAGCTCCAGCTCCCCATGTGGAGAAGCCTCTCACAAGGATGATAAAATATCAAAAAACATCCAGGCATTTCCTGGGCAACGTCCTTGCAGATTTCCTGGGCAACGTCCTTGCAGATCTTCTCACATCAGAAGTGACTTGCAGTTTCTCAAGTCGCTCCTGACACACAAAAAAAGCTACTTATATAAGAATATGAATGTAAGTAAAAATCACAGTGAAATGTCTAAGAGTTACTAAAATGATTTAAACCCAAACTTAATTGCCAAGCCTTATGTAATGGGTTTCCAGCTGGAATACTTAGCTTAACCTTACAAAAGATCAGATAGACATACTATTTGCACATCCTTTAGGGGCTTTTGTATTCTTGGCACCACAAATGGACTGTCAGCAGCATCAATCTTTAATGGGTCAGTGGGATGGCTACTTTGGCACCGCACAGTCTGTTACAGGGAAAATAATGAGAAACCTCATTAATGGAGATTAAAATTCAGTGGCAACTATGATTACTTGTATTGTTTTGAAACAAAAAGAAATAAATCATAGTTTTGTTAATCAAACAAACAAACCATGAAATAACCTTTCAAATCAATATAAATTCTGACTAAATTATGAGGGACTAGCCCCAATCCCTTGGCTGGATATTTATTTATTTATTGACTATATTTATATCCTGCCTTTCTCGACCCCGAGGGGGACACAAGGCAGCTTACAGCATAGGCAATAATTCAATGTCTTTAAAACAATATACATCCAATATACAATTATATAAACATTTCAATTAAAAATTTAAAGGAGATTAAGAACATTAAAACATATAAAACATTGAATTACAACTATCACCACATTATCCACAATCATAGTCAGGCCATTCCAGTAATCATTACACATAAATCCATTTCTTTTTTAAAAATACGGATTGCTTTTATATGCACTTTTAACCAGTGCTATACATTTTTTTGACTGAGGTTATGTGTTACATTTTAATTTCTAATTGTTCCTTGCCTTGATCCATAGGGACAAAAAGGGAAGAAGGTCAGAAGAAATTGATATTATCATCATAATCATCACCACCACCATCAATTCCCAACTAGAGTAGACCATTTAATGAAATATTCAATGGTAGATTGATATATATATGTAAAGCGCATTGTCCCAATGCTTCTAATTTTGTCAGGACTGACAAAAACATTTAAGCAATGCTATTTGTCTCAGTCCGGGAAACAACAAAGCTACAAATGATTTGTTCCAGAAGTTTTATATGCTGGAATTACAAAAGAATTCCTCAACTGAAGACCCACTTATTATACCTTTGCTGATGAAAAGGAAGCATGGAAGAACATTTTCAATGTCTTCTTCCTTCTGCTGTAGCCTCCAGATCCCACACCATTACAGTATAAGACCCTGGTATTTATTATGTACTTGGCCAGACTAGAGTTACACGGAACTGCAGATATGACTGAATACCATTAAATTACTTCACATGTGGTCGGAGCATATAATAAAGTGGCATTGGAGGACCTAGAAATTCCTGAATTATCCTTTTTAAGAATTTGCTAGGTCCTCCAATGCAACTCTATGATAACTCCTGTGGGAAGAATACCATAGAATGACTTGTAGGACCTAGCAAATGCCTAGTGATACCTTTGTATGCCCAGGAGTAAATAAGTGAAACTGCAGAGATGGGTTCCATGGTTTCTGGAGGAAATTTTGAGTATTTGTAAGCAGCTACAGAAAAAGGGAGAGGTTTCTAAAAATATCACGCCACTGGGATATCTCCATGAATGCTACTTTTGGTGAAAGAAGATTAGAAATTATTGAAGTGAATAAACAATCTTCTGCTAGATAAAAAGCCTTCTGGAGATAGAAGACCCTTTTGCCCATGGAAAACAAATTCTGGATCCAATCTGTAGCAAAGTTAAACTGGCTAATAATGATCTTTTTTTTAAAACTGGGGATGGTGTGCTTACATTAGAAAAGATCAGAAAACATTAATTGAAAAGACAATAACTTGAATGGCATCAGAATGGCTAGGGATCTTGACATTATCATCCACAGAATAATAGTGAAAGCTTATCTTGAAGTGCTAGAATGCAGATATATTCAAAAAGAGAAAACTAACTTACCTCTGAGTATGATATCCTAGTTAGGTAAAGGACAGGGTTTTTTGCTGAATCCATGTGGGGGAATGAGATTTGCAGTGTAAGTTCTGGCATTGGCAAATATTCAATTTTTTCAATTCTTTCAATCTAAAGACAAGAATAAAAAAGCACATTTCTTGGTAAGTAGTGTTCCCTAGCTCCTTTTTTCATATAAAAATATTATTTAATAGCAAATGTCACAGTGCTTGTATTAGGGTATACATCTCTGCTTCTCTCCTTTTGTATAAGAATGATATTTTTTTCTGTCATTGCTTGTGAGAAACATCCTGATGGTTCAAGAGAATTTCTGCATTTGCTAGAATTAATTTTGTAAAAAATTAATAAACTATTATTGCTACTATCTTGTTTAATAGACTTTTCAAAATGAGTAGCAGCAGATGGGTTATTGTTATATTTTTGATAAGGCATTTGATAAGGCATGAAAAGCACAGGCATTCTGTGCTTTTTTGTGATGTTTCATAAAGGAAAAAGACACTAATTTTGCACAAATCTTCACACACACACACACACATAATCACACACACACAAACCCTGGTCTTGTTCTAATGCTGTACATGGGGAATATTCTGAAGGGTCAACAAATTTTTAACAAGTTGTCCTGAAATTTTGAGACAAACAAATTCCACCAAGCATGATAATACAGTGAGGGTTCTTCCTAGCCATGCTCCATGAGAGCCATTTCTGTGGAAGATCTCTGATGAGCCATGAGTTTATGAACTTCAAATCCAATTCCAAGACAGCCTGCTTTGGGAAAAGGTCTTCATTACCAAAAGATTTTATAAGACAAAAATGTGAGACTGAGTGAAATAGACTTGGGTGTGTCTATTGATGGATTTGTCTTCACTAGAACAATTGTTCTGCTTCTCCTCTGAAGATATGGGTGTGTAAGGTCTTACACAAGGGAAAACACAAAAGGTCAATTCATTCATTCATTCATGCATGTAATGTTGGATGTAGAGCAGTGGCATGGTAACAGAATTCAAAATGACACTGTTAAAATTTCAATTATTGAATTACATTATATCAAAAGACAGCAAACAGACAAGACTGCATGCTTTCCCTTACCATATAGTTTAAGTTAATTTCATCTCCAATGCTTTCTGTAGAATTAAACACTTCTGGAGTGTGTTCATTGGCAGCAATGATGATGTGATATGAATTTGGATCCCTTAAAACAAAACAATAATGACTTATTTGGCTATTGAGTGCTTATGAAATATTCAATAATCCTAATAAATGTTTAAGATTTACACTCATATTGTAGACTGTAGATGGGATATGATGTTAAGAAACCTTATGCAATAGTGAAACAAGTAAAAATGAAATATGTGTTCTATCTGAGTTTTAATCACACAATTAACATATCTAGATTGGCATTCTGATGGCTAGTCCCAACTATAGTAGACTTATACAATATATTATTGGATGATAAATCAACACATTGGTATATCCTACTTATTGAATGAATACTTTTGGTAGGATTACGAACAGAATTTAGTAGGATTTTTGTCTGGGTAAATCTGTAGAAAATAGTTTAAGGACCTAGAGGTATCTGCATGGCGCCTCATTTCTGATAAGCGTGCAGACTGATCTTGTAGTAATACACTACAAAAGTCAAGGAAATCCCTGGAAATACACATTGCGTATGGGTAGATCCATACTGAGCATGTAGGTTTTGTTCTGTATCTATCACTAGTATTGTATAACATCATAGTTTCTACAGGTTTAAGAAAAGAGAAACACTGTATTGCCAGTAGGCATAAGTATTTGATCAGGTTTGCTCTACTCTGTTCTTTATTTGGATTAAGTTATAGGCTTGTCATACAAATATTATATAGTGCAAACACAGCAAGAATGTAGACATATAAAACAGAAAATTTGGGGTCTATTCCAAGTTTATAGTCCTAGAACATTTAACAAAATAGTTAAGCTAATATTTGGAGTCACAGTAGTCCTAAAATATATTCGCAGTGCTAAGAATATTTTATTTGACTTTAGAGCAGCCCCTATAAACTAGTTTTGCCTATAAACTTGTATTTAAAAAGTGGCTTAATCTATAGGCATCCTAAAACAAGTCACTTAGATTAAAATTGACATATTATATTAAAGTGCATAAAACTGGTGTAAATGCTTCTGCTCCATTAAATAAAACATTCTTTAATATGTGTTGGTTTTTACTTTAAATACAGCATATGATTCCTTTCTACTAATTCAGAAAACGTGAATGAAGAAAGACAAAAATATAGATACCTTTTGAATATTAATCCACTTTCATATTTTATGGGTATTACAATACTTCCTCTGTTATCTTCCAGGGTCTCATCATGTTCATCACTGTCACTAATAAGAAAGGGGAGATAGTTCAGTCACGGAGTTTATCTACAGATTACTTGTGTTATAAAGAATTGCCTGCTGGTGTAAGTTCAAAGCCCCACATTCACATTTCCATTTTTTTAAGGAATTAACATTTTCAATTTTAAAATGTGACATTTGTGTCTCTCAAATAAGGGTATAGCAATCATGAGACCAAACAGTGAGCCTCGATTTATAAAACAACAGCAACAACGACAACGACAAACAGTCTTCTGAGTAGAGGTTGAATCCGGAATCTACATTTGCCCCATGAGTCTGTTAGTCCACCATGTCCTTAAGGATATGCCTAAACTAAACAGATCAGAATACAAATACTGATAGGAGGAATTCTTGCTCAGAGGCTCCTGACTGCCTGCTGCAACATAAACATGTCCACTCTTTCCACTCTTATGGAAAGTTTTTTGAAAACTAGACCATCTTTGAAGATGTTCCTTCTCCAAGGGAGGAAAGTATATGCAGTCCCGGAGTTACAAACAATCGACTTACAAAAAACTTGTAGTTGAGAACAGGACTAAGACAACAGAAAGTGAGAGAAATATACCCCTTGAAAGGGAAATTTACTCCTGGAAAAGTTATCATGGAGAATAAGATATCTCCACTGAAGCTTTCTCATCAATCCTTGTTTACACAACAAGCCAAATTTTTCAAAATCCAATTCTCTCAGGAACAGAAAGTGAGGTGAAGTCTTCTGAACAGGGGGCCAGATATCAAAACAAACACCACGAAGGTGTTAACCCTTTTCTATGCTATCCAAAGCATGCATGTGTGTGTGTGTATTCAGCTGGAGTTACACTTAAAAATGTACATGTTCTGACTTACATACACATTCAACTTAAGAACAAACTTACAGAACTCATCTTGTTCATAATCTGGGGACTGTCTGTATTACATTGCAGTAAGTCCCTTGTACCTGCAGAGGATACATTCTCATCTGGACCACAGTTACATGAAACCATAGGTACAACCAAGTGCTATTAAATCACCACTCTTGTGGTCCCAGCATACAAGTTTTGTTGGAGGATGTAGCAATTTTAAGAGAGACATCTTTTCTAGGAATTTGCTGGAGCCTCCAACATAATTCTAAAGTACTTTCCAGGAGGGATAGCCATAGAATTGCCTGGTGGACCTAGCAATTTCCTAGAGAGACCCCCCCCCCCCCCCCCCCAGGCCCAGGGAAGTGAAACTGTGGATATGGGCTTCACGCTTACAGGAGTATTAAGTATTCATTCCCCTTTGGGAGAGAACACCCCTGATGTGATTATCTTATTTGTGAATCCTCTTTAAGATGCAGGCATGGAACCAAGTTCACTTATTTCCAAAGAGCATCAGCACAAATAGCTAGTGCTTTCACCCCCAACCAGCATAAATATACAGATTTTACTTTATTCTGAGACACATAAAAATAACTTTCAATAAGACTGGAAGCAAAACTGTGTGGTGATTTTTTTTTTAAAAAAAAGGAAAGATAGGTATTAGGTATATATATAATGGAACAAACCTTGTTACAGAAAACTGAATGGTAGTATTTTCCAGAAGATAAGACACATTGAACTGGAATGCTATTTCAAAATAAATCTAAATGAAGAGATTTTAAAACAGATCAAATTCACAATATTTAAGAAGAATCAGAAATAACATTGTCATATAAGAATAAGAATAAGAATAATCAAATTGTAGAGTGATTAATCCCACTAATTAGTCAGTGTTGTGTGCCTTCAAGTCAGTGCTGAGTGGTTGGCAACCCTATCATAAAGTTTGCTTTGACAAGGTGTTCGTGTGTGTGTGTGTGTGTGTGTTTTGCCATTTCCTTCCTCTTGGGCTGAGAGTTGTCTAAGGATACTTAATGGGTTTTAATGGTTGAGCAGGTATTCAAACCCTGATCTCTCAGTATCCTAGTTGAATATTCAAACCATAACAGGAGAGTCTACTCTAGTCAGGATTAAGAACAGAATTCATGCTGAAGTGTCGGGATGCTCACACATCCATGGATAAGGCACTGTGATTATTCAGCAAACCCCCTTTTTAAAAAGGGAAGGATTACCCTAGTGTAATGTTGTCCAATATTTTAGATCAGACACTCTGATATTTCAGACTGAAACATCTGTTGTAATTTATAAATACTCTCTCTCACTCCCATTTTTAAATTATTGCATGGAAAAGTTCAGGCTGATTCAGGAGCAGATAATCTGAGCAACTAAAATTGTATTTCATGAACAATGCTGAAAGAAGTCACAACGGCTGAAGTCTGATACTTCTGGAGGAGAAGCTGTGGGAAAGTTTGCTTTTAGCCAATTTGCTGTTGAGGGAACTGCACTGGGTCACAGAAAGAGGATCTGGGAATAAAGTGAAATTCCACATAAGTTATTTTCATATGTTTATGAAAAAGCCTCAGCCTGTGTGGAATTTCACTTGAGAAACATAGTAATGAGCATCATGGTTAATGCATTAACTGAGAATAAAGATTGAAATACATTGAGGTTACAAAAGCAAACACTGTCCATCTCTACATCCCATTCTTTTCAGGAAATTAGGGTGAAGAGAAGCATAGCCTTTTAACATAATGGGCATCATACACACACACACACATCTATACATACACACACACACACATATAAAAGGCTGATCCTGGCTCTCCACTGTCCCGAAAGAGTTATATCTATCCTTAGCCTTAGCAGCACAAGACATAGAACTCATTGCTTTTGTGGCATGTCTGTGGGATTGAGACATTACTCAGAGATGCATGTCTATTCCAAGACATCAGAATTTCCCAGTGTTCAACTTGAAATTGCTGAGATTATGACTGAAATCCTAAGTAGACATGATGACATTAACTATGTGAATGCTTTCAGAAACATCTAACTTACTAGGCTGTTTATAAAGTATATTGGCCCCAAGAGGAGTTGGGGCATGTAGTTGGCTGGGAATTGGACTTTGACTCTGGAGACCAGGATTTGATTCCCTGCTTGGACATGGAAACCTACTGGATGGACTTTGGCAAGTCAGTCTCTTGGCCTGAGAGGAATGCAATGGCAAACTCCTTCTGAACAAATTTTATGCTGGTCCTTAGGATCAACATAAGTCAGAAACAATAATATTAATCCTCTCCACTCGCAAAGCACACCCAAATAGTGTCATGATAGAGGCAGGTCGTTTAGCCCCATGCAGAGTTTGTTAAAGGTTCTATTTTGGATGAAAACTCCCCAAATCCTATGCTCTCCCACATTTTACAGATTAAAAGAAGACAACTGTGATCAAACAACACCTTGCGGGTATTATTATGAGAGAAAACATACAAGTTAAGAGAGGCTGCAGCAGTTTGCTTTTTCCTGAGCCTACTGGGATGGATATGGCTCCCCTCCATCTACTAAAATGAAGTCAAAGGAGAGAAACAGAAGGAGAAGAAAGTGCAAATGGGACATTTCAAAAGCTACTAAAAAGTATGATGACTGACCAATAATAAGAACTGTCTGTACAAAATCAAGTCAGTTAGTGTCTATGGAATCCATCAGCATAATTTAAAAAAGTATTTTTTTTCCCTATCTGTGGCTTAGAGTTATGCTTAGAGAAGGTCCCATATTGAATCTTGGCATCTCCAATTAAAAAGTAACATCTAAGGTTGCCAAGTCAGTATTATGCCACATCAGTGTTATCCAGATTATCTTAAAATTATGGTTTTAAAAGTATTTTATTGCTGAATTTAATATCCATTCATTTTATATGTTCTTCTAACTTATCTGATGTGATGCATTATTTGTTGTTGTTTCCTATCTGAATCCCTAGGGACAGGCAGGTAAGAAACAACAACAACAACAACAACAACAACAACAACACAAAAACAAATAATGAGCAGCAACATACTATTGTAATCAGTAGTGGCAATCAAGTACTGTCTCAGCTTCATAACTTGCAATTGTAATAATAAGAGATACTTTTTTTAAAAAAAAAGATAAATAACTATCCAAGCCATGCTCCTACGTGCAAAGACAATTCCTTTTAGACAATTTTCCTTTTACTGCAGAAAAAGCCTGAGAGTCTGCTACTGCTAGTATTACCCCAAGGCAGATAATATGTAAAGTCCTTTGACTTCTGTAACTGGACTTCTTCTTAAACTTTAGGATTAACAATAAATAAATACTCAATCTAGAAGATGGGGTTTGCAGGTACTTTGACCACACTGGAAATGGCTGTTTATATTCCCATGCACTTCATCATGCTGCTGTGATCCATAGGATTCCAATTTTGGCACAGTTAGACTTTCTAAAGAATGTCCAAAGCAAACATCATGCAATCTTTGTTCAGTGCTATTGCAGAGAGACTTCCTGTTATCCTAGCATATGTTCCAAATTAATGGATGACTTTCAAGCCAAATAGAGAGACGTTTTGAGGATCAGCAAACAGCGACACTGAACAAGTTGATTTTAAGGGTCCGCACATTCAAGCAGAGAGGGAAAAAAATCTTTCCTTCTTATCCTTACAGTTTATGAGATGAAGAAACAGCTAAAGTCCCTTTGATGATTACAGGAAAATAGGGGTGATTGTTCTTCTTAATTGCTTTGCTACATTGCTGGCATGTGATCTTATACATTTGGTCTAAGATCTATTCTTTCATGATAAGTCTCAGATCTAGACCTTGAATTAGATACTTCCAAGAAACCTGATTGTAAACAGCCTTACTCAGGTCTTACAAACCCTTACTTGGTTGAATCAATTCACTTGTAGTGCCATCTCCCTCTTTTTCTACTGCCTTCTATTTTACCAACTATTATTTTCTTTTCTAGTGAGTCATGTTATATCATGATACATCCAAAGTATAACAGTCTCATTTGTTATCCTGGTTCCCATCAATAGAAAAACAGAAAAATTAACCAAACCCATTTCAGTCACAACAACTTACCTCCTCTCCAGTTGATAGGAATGGGTAACCTATTTTACAAGTGATGTTATGCCCAGATTCACAACTATCTTTGGGTATTTTCTGGATATAATGGAAAAAAGTAAAATTTAAAAAATTAAAAATAAAGCAACAATAACAGAAAATATGAGTTCTACAACATGTTCCTAAGAAAGATATTGGGGCTAAAAAAATTAGTAGCGGTAGTAGCAAAAATAGTTTCTCCCACCAAAAATTATTTCCTCATAAAGAAAGTATTTTATACAAAAAGCTTAAGTTGAGGGCATCAGCTCAAAGTACAAAAACCATGCTCTGCATATAAAACATACAAGTTTTTTCATGTATAAAAACCTTAATGAAATAACAGCTACCAAAGTCCATGCTCTGATTGTAGGGGGAGAGTTGCCTACTACCTTAGAGCAGGGATGGACAACCGTATGGGACCAGGGACGAATTTCTCCCCAGATCCTTCCTGTGGACCACATTTCTTTCCGCACCATGACCAAATACCTCTGTTTTCTTCTGCGGTGCCTCTCAAAATGGCATTAAGAAGTAGCATGACATTGTTTCCTGTCACCATTTTGGAGAAAAAGCAGAAATATTTGGGGGCAATATGAAGTTCTGGGGGCTTCTGTGAATATTTTCTTGCATGTTTTCAAGGCTTAGGGGCTATCATCATGACCCGGTGGTGCAACTGTGCCAGCAGGACTGTTGACCAACAGGTCAGCGGTTCAAATCCAGGGAGATTAGGTTGAGCTCCCTCTGTCAGCTCCAGCTCTCCATGTGGGGACATGAGAGAAGCCTCCAACAAGGATGGTAAAACATCTGGGTGTCCCTGGGCAACGTCCTTGCAGACGGCCAATTCTCTCACACCAGAAGCAACTTGCAGTTTCTCAAGTCACTCCTGACATAGAAAAAAACCATGCTTTAGGGACAAAGATTGCCTCCAAATCATGCTGACTACAGAAATGCCAACACCCAATAAGGATGGATGAAATCAATTATATGGTAATTCCAGGGTTTAAAATAACTATTACAAAGCACAGGTTGCAGATTAGACTATGTTTAGGTGCTTAAATTACATCTAAGGAAATGGTCCCATAATGTTACATCCCCATCCCAAAATGGTAATAGTGAAAGAAGACATACCTCAATCCCAACAAAAATAATATTGGGAGAATATTGGACAATGACTCTTGTATTATAAGCACTGTCTTTTTTATTCCTAACAAGCATTTGTACCCAGAACTTGAGGTTGTTCACCTTGACAATGAATGGAGAAAAACTGAAAAATATAAACAACAAATCTTAAAATTAATTAATATGCTATAGCTTATTTTCTCTTTAACTATACCTTCCACAATAATGTATAAGGAAGTGTACTAGAAATAAAGAAGACTTGTGAGGAATTAATTCCCAGAATGATCAGGAGAAAATTGTAAAAACACAGGAGGATGAAGGATGTAGAGAGAACATAAACATGTAGAAATTGAAATACGTAAATAAAAATGTATGGGTACCTTCTGGGAATTGTTAGAAATATGGCAAGTTTTTATTAATGAATATTCAAGATTGAGAACAAGGAAAAATATGATAATTATTACTTTAGATGTTATAACATAGTGCAGGATATTAAAGTTTCTGGTCATTGTGGGAACCCAATTCTGGCATCAACAGAGGTGCTTATATGACCAGCAAGAAGATGGGGACATGGCCATTTCCTTTTTGCTGATTGTGTGGGCTCCTCTGCTGATGTAACAGGGTGCCCACAATGGCTAGGAGTTTGCATAGAGCTCCATGGCTGGTTGGGAGTGATGGTAGTGACAAGAGAGGGAAGTGATGACCCAGCAAGGCTGATTCACTCTTGGTCTGGCTGAATCTCATGGACATCAACTCAGTGCTGCAGAGGATTTGATTGGGTGCATAAGGTGACCTCTAGGACCAAGAAATTGCTATACAATGCAGTGAGAGGACTCAGTATCCAATATTTAGTTTCACAGGTGTCTTATCCACTAGAAGAGATCATTTCAGGGGGAAACTTAACAACTAAAATTCCTTTCCACCCCTACTGAAGAGCGCATGTGCCCTAAGCATTAGAGGGAACCAACCTAGTTCTACTTTGTAAAAGGAAAAAAAGACATGATTTTTATAGCAACCATACATCTTGTCATATTTATGTTGTGAACAACAATTGTTAAGTTCTTTGTACATTTGTGTATTTATTGTGAGAATATAAATATAATATACTACATTTGCATTATATTGAATTTCTTTAAAATATATTTAAAATACATGGACAAATAAAAAAGTAGTTTCAATTATGCTACCTGTTTCCTCCTATGGTTGCATTGGCAGTCAACTGTAGATCAGTAATACATTTCTTCTTGCTTCCACAATCTTTTGTGAAAGGGATCTGCAAAGCATTAGTAGTAGTCATCAAGAGAAGGGCTTAGCATAGTACAATCCTATAACTCTCATCCCTCACCTTTTTGTACCTCCTTTTGCAAAGAGTAATTTACTGACTGATTCTTTGACTATAAAGTTAACATATTTTTACAGTATAGCTTCATAACCTTTGTTTTATTTATTTGTTTGTTTTGCATATTTGTATCCCATCCTTCTCATCCCTGGAGGGGGACTTCAGGCGGCTTCACAACAAGCATTCATTCAATGCCAACAACAGTAATAAATGACAAAAGCAATTAAAACAATTCATTAATGTTTTAAAATTACTAAAACATTGATTAAATCACACAAGTTTGAAATCATACTCCAGGTCAGTCCATTGTCACTCACACAAATTGGGTCTCATTCTAAATTGCTGCCTCTACTGTTTGAATGCTTGGTCCCATAGCCAGGTTTTGAGTTTAATTCTAAAGGAAAAGAGGGAGGGGGCAATCTAATGTCACTGGGTAGAGGCTTCCACAAGCGAGGGACCACCACTGAGAAGGCCCTGTCTCTCATCTCCACCAGTCGTGTTTGCAAAGATGGTGGGATCAAGAGCAGGGCCTCTCCCATCGATCTTAGACTTTACTAGGGAAGAAAACTTTTGTAGAATAATTTATGGACTACATAATTTAAATTTTGAAATTGAGAAAGTATACGAAATAATAATAACACTAGAAATTTGATGTTGTGTTACTTATCTAATGCTACGGAATATTCACTGTGCTTGATCTCATTTGTAGTGTCATCTTACACAAGAGGTAGGCAAAGTGAGGGCCATACAAGGTTTTTATGTTGTTGTTGTTTATTTATACCTCACTTTTTCTCTCCACAAGGAGACTCAAAGCAGAAACTTCCATGTCCCCACTCCCAGCACAAGTTTTTTTTTTTTGGCCAAGAAATTGATTAGTCCACACTCTCAAAAGCATCTACAAAATAAGCCTGGCCATTTGAGCCATTCACACCGCTCAGGTCTCTTTTAAACCAGAAATCACTGGCAGTTTTTAGGGAAATGATTTCCTGAGATAAAAACGGGCTCTGGAGGAGTGGGGAATATCCACTGCAGACACATGCACTCATTAGAAACATTTTGAGTACAAGTGGATAATTTTGGGGGGCAATCTCTTGATCCCCAGAAGTTATCCAGACCTATCTTCTACTGTAACACACCTTGAGAGGCGAGTAAGAAATTATTATTATTATCGTCATTATCTTAATATCTTTCAGTAGTCAATTTTATCAACCTTGTGGTATACAAAGCAAGACAGAACCTGGTGAGTGAACACTGGGTCATTAGTGAATGCTGGCTTTTGCAGCAGTTTTATGATCATTTTATCTTTCTCCACTTTGATGCAAAATGGAAGGTAATCGTTTGCATGTAGAACTGCCTAGCTTTTCATACACACAGCTGAATGTCTTGAGAACTGTTATTAGTCAGTTCAGACTAGGATGGGGAACCTTTGTCCTTCAGACTGTATGCTTCCCTTTAAAGCCCTTTTTGTAGTGCCCCCTGCCCACCCCAACAGATTTCTTAAAATGCCCCTAAGCGCTCCCATTTCTTACCAGTTATGTTATTTGTGGGATATGAATTAAACACTTAGGGAGAGAAGGTTTTGAATTAAATTCCATCCCAAGTATGAACATGTTTAACACACTTTCCATATTGTTATGACTTACATATTCATATATTGAGTTGGGCAATGTGTTGTCAAGAATAGGTCCACTCTCTGGATCAGAAAAGTTGAACTCCAGCAAAACCTTGATAGAATCACGGAAGTCAGGCTTGTCCTAGAAACAAACAAAACCATAGCAATCATTGCAAACTTTTCCTTTCTTTTCTTGGCTGAAATGCTTCTTTAAAATACACGTTCTTAAAATAATGGTTTGCTAGTAGCCTTTATTCCACATTATTCTTTTAAAAGGAAATATACTAAACAGGACACTGAAGATGACATACTTTTCCTAGGCTAAAGTTAAAGGCCAAGCAGATTACATTCTCAACGTACATCTGATCCTTTTGTATATTCCAGCAGTGGGAGCCTTTGGACCTCCAGATGTTTTGGATTATAAATATCATAATATTTAGCATTTGCTATGATGAGTTGCCCCAATAAGAGCTGTAGACCAAAACATCTGCCTTGCCCTGAACTAAGGGCATATTGTATCAGTTATGATTCCAGCTAACTATATTCTTCACTAGTTCACAGTCTATTCTGCCTCCCAAAAGACATTGCTCAGTCATAGCAACAGAATATCAGGACTGTTAGGCTAAGAACCAAAAAGATTTGAATATACAAAGAATCTATTAAGTTGAGTTAACTTGTCTTTTTCAATGGCCCTTGATGTTCAAGGTATAGTAGTCTGCAGAATCCTCTCTGTTTTTAGATGCATTGACTGGGAGGGGGCAAGATGTGGTAGAAAAAATTGTGTGAAAAATTGGGATATAATTTGTCGAAGGCTTTCATGGCTGGAATCACTCAGTTCTTGTGGGTTTTTTCGAGCTATATGGCCATGTTCTAGAGGCATTTCTCCTGACGTTTCGCCTGCATCTATGGCAAGCATCCTCAGAGGTTGTGAGCTTTCATAGGTGAGGTCACCTCTGAGGATGCTTGCCATAGATTCAGGCGAAACATCAGGAGAAATGCCTCTAGAACATGGCCATATAGCCCGAAAAAAACCCACAAGAACTATGTGGGATATAATTTGTTTATGTCAGTATGCAGCCCATATTATTTTAGGACTGGGTGCATACTGTATTGAGATGAGGTGCATACTCCCCTCATCACACCTAATTATTATGATTACTGTGATTTGACAATACTGCGCTTTGACTCATCACACCACGCAAGGCTGGCTCCTCCCAATCCATTCAAAACACCCCCTACATCACTCTATGACCTTTTAAAAAGTATTGTTGCTGATGGGATGCATACATATTTTCCTATCACACACAAAAACGGTGTTTCAGCAACAGAAGAATCCGTAGTATTTAAAAAACACTATTAGAATTCCATCTGCAAATAATCCGTGTTTGCGATGCTTTGCAGACAGATTCTGATGGAGTACTGACAAAATAGGGACTCATTTGAAATCATTCTTAAATAGTCTCAAAATGTGATAAGGTCCATCAACAGATATTGGCAGATGGTTAGAAATAAATGAAGCCTCATACTCAAAGGAAAAACGGTGTGTATTTTGTCACGCCTCCTGAACAAACTACGGCATGCCCCAAGGAGACATGAGAACATAACTTAATAAACTACAATACGGAAATGAACACATGGCAATTCTGCTGTGCTATTTTCAATTGGAAAATTAACAGCAAAATTAGAACATAATGAGCAAAGGGGATAGTCTACATATTGAAATCAACGTAAATTATTTGCAGTGACTTGGTTTTACCTATAATAATGATTTAGACTTTTTTATTTGCTGATTTATATCATGCTTTTCTCACAAAATAGGACCAAAGACAGCTCCCATCACAAATAGAAAAAAAAGTTATGAAAAAGAAATTATGAAGTTTAAATACTAGTAATATCCCACCAAAAATACTAATTTAAAACATTTTGAAAACATTCAAAATAAACCATGAATTATATGGAATGTTTACACTAAGTTTTAAAAACAGTTAATAATAACAAGAATTGAAAGTGAATAGCCACTTTATATGATTTACTTGCCAACATGTAGAAGTTGTGCTTTACACAGTTTGAACCCTTGACTGTGAGATTTTTTTGCATCTTCCTTTCAGACGTTTCTGTGAAAAGACTTCGAGACAACTTTCTTTGTGCATCAAGTGTAATCCAATACTGGATGTCTAAAAATAAAGCAAGAATGATTGCTTGCTTCGGGAAAACTTTATAAGTGGTTATGGAAGAGAATTAGCCTAGGATCCCAAAACTCCTTTCCCAATCAGTGGGCATCACCTAAAGGAATATTTAATAATCTGCATGCAGTCTACTTACTTGTTTCATTTACTATAACTTCCTTTGATTTTAATCGAACTTCAAAACAAATTGTGGCATTGATGAATACTCTTTGCTTTTGCATGTCACTGTTTATTTTCTGGATATTAATTTTGTTGGGCATGAATTTCATGGTCGCATTCACTTCTGCAACATCTCGAGACCTGAAAGACATCATTTATAAAAACACTTTATTTTGTGACACTAGGTGGCAGAAAAGAAACAAGCAAGGACTAATGTTGAAATACTGTAAGAATGCAAAACTTTGTTCATTACAGATTGCAAACATTTAAAAAAGATATCATACTGAGCATTAAGAGTGGTCAATCAAAGCCAATGTGCTCTTTGGACCAATTATAGCAGACCAAATTCATCAGCAGATATATGCTGAAACTGAATGTTGTTGAATACTTGGAGAGAACCATTCATAAACTCCCTTCCAACTTGCACTGTGCAAACAATTTAAAAATCAGTTTTAAATTCACAAACTGATATTAAATCTTCCTATTCTGGGCATCCCTTATCTGGGCTGATGACTGAGAGTGCAATTGCTTTCAGGCAGTATTGGATGGTGCATATTTTCTAGATCTTTTTCAAACTATTTGCAGACTACTATGGTCACCTCAGTGGAAAAGCTTTGCTTAAGCATTGATGGGGGAGTGAATCTTCACTTGGACCTCTTGGAGGTTTCATACCATTTATCATGGTATCTCCACCACTGGAATGCCTGAAGGGTTTGGAAATTGA